CTGTGGTTCTCGGCGCTCTGTGAGCGCTAAGGACAGGCGGTCTTTGGTCCTGCCCGCGCGGGAAGCGCCCAGCCGCCTGCGACTCCAGGCTCCTCAGACCTCCCTTCATCCCCCAGGGCAGCCTGCAAGTTTCCAACTTCCCTTGGGCTGGAAACCCATTCACTGTGTGCAGGTACCGCAGGACCCGCGGCCAAACTTCGAATCCTGCTCCTGAGGGAATGGGGAGGCTCTGACCCCAGGGAGCAGAGCGAACTTGGGATGGCAGGAAGTCAGCCAAGAGGACCTTCTTAGGGGACAGATGGAGGGGGTTGGTTCCCTACACCTCCCAGCCCTAGCACGAAAGGGCCACTCTTCCGTCCTCGGGGGACACGAACGGAGTCTTTCTATGCCCTCTATTTCCCCGGAAGTACCTCTCCCCAAGTGGCTCAATAAGCAAACCATAGCGCTGGCTAACAGTTATCCAACATTCATTTTGTTTCAGGCTGGGGGGCACAGTCCATTGGATCTTGGCAATGACCCTAGGAAGTGGAGATTATTATAGTATTGTAACACTACATACAGATGAAGGAAGACACGCACAGTATCTGGAAAATCCATGCCCCATCACCAGAATACCCCAGGACAGCCCAATGCTATGGAATTCTCTGAAACGCCCTCAAGTCCTAACCTGAACTGAACTGAGTTTGAATTGACGGACACTTTGGCCAGGTGAACCCAAGCAGAGCAGAGGACTTCTGTGATCCTCTCCAAGGGTGATGCCACTTCCCAGCTCTAAAGAAAAAGTACTGGCTGCCAGCTGCTCCCAGGGGCTTGGGAGCAGTGACACTCCCTCCCCCATTTGCTATTATAAATTCTTCCCACCAACAGCACAAACCAAACACAGAATATGACTTAAGAGAAACAAGGGAAAAGGGCAAGGAGTTTAATACCTTAGATTTGAATGCTGCTTTCATACTTTTCAAGGTACTTCCATAGACATGACTTGGCTTGATCCTTACAACAAACCTGTGAGGTAGGCAGAGCAAATAGTTTTATCCATTGTTTCAGATGAATCTTAGAGGCTTAGTGTACTGAAGATTGCTCGGATGCTTCCCAGATGGTTAATGGCAGGTCTCCTACTGCCTGAACTTTGTCCTCTCTGCCACCCCAGAGAAAAGGGTGTGAAAACCTACATAGAATTATAAGTATTCTTCAGGTTATGTATAAAACAGGATAAAAGTAGAGCAAATACAACCATAGGGAATATTGTTTAAATGCCCAACAAGAGTTTTGATTTTGATAAAGGTCTTCAATTTGTGAAACGTGTTTGACGAGTGATGAGAAGGTTCTTTCTTGCAAATATCCTGAAAGTGAGTAGATTTTCATTTGCTGTGAGACCCACACCTTTCCAGTGATTCTGGCAGCCCAGTGAGTATACATTGTAAGAGTCTGTGGTGGGAATGTCTTTCCCCGCCTGGCTCGGGCCCTTTGGGATGGAAACTGTGCCTCATCCGCGTCACGAGCCCTGCTATCAGTAGAGCAGAGCCAGGTGCACGGACATGATTGGCAAGTAGCACCTGCCCTGCAAGGGAGGACCGAGGACTCTCTATAACCGGAAACACTTCAGAGGAACCAGAGGGCCTCAGTTCCCTTCCCGACTCTGCCACGAGTCCTGACCACCCCTTCACCTCTCTGGCATTAACCTCGCCTCTCGGGAATGGAAGGCCATCCCAGCCTAAGATCTGTGACGTGGGCCTGGCTCTGGCCTGCAGAGCGGAGTAGCACAGAGAAACCCGAGAGGGTGCTGTGCAGTCCGGTGTCAGCTTGGCTGGTGTGTCTAAGTCCGGGAAGAGCCAGCTCCTTCGTCCAGCACTTCCTCTCCCATGATGCATTTCACCTTTCCCAGTGCACCAGGAATCATGAGTCCCACTCCTACCCCAGTAGGAATTCACTTTAACCTCAGCTGCCTCACTCACTGATGGGGTGGATCGGAAGATGACAAGTGGACCGCTTTGCACAGGCCTCTTTGCATTTTTAACTCAAATGTAGTTGTTTTACCTTTTTATTTTTTCAGTACAGCGCTGCTAATTGAATCGAAGATCTTCACACTGAGCTATAATCCTGCAGGCCTTTAAGGAAAACTTCTAAAATTTTGAGATGGGGTTGCTAAGTTTCCCAGGGCTGGGTTTGAATTTGCAATCCTCTTGCCTCAGCTGACCGATGCTGGGGTTACAGGTCTGTACCACCACACCTAGAAAATGTTTCATTTTGGCGCAGAGTCTCGATAAATTGCCCCCAATAGGTTCCAACTTGAGATCCTCCTGCCTCAGCCTCTCACACTGCTGGGATTACACAGTGCTTTGCTTATTTAATGAAAAAGGATGCCACATAGTCTCTGTCCAGGAGCCTCTTCTGAAGAAATCCATGCCCCATCACCAGAATATTGTCTTCTCCCTTTTAGAAAGAAATACTTTCTTCTGAGCGTTTGTGTAAGGAAGGCAGAAAGACTTCAGAAAGAAACTCCAGAAATTACAGTTGTAGAGCAGGAAGTGATCTTCAAGCTCACCGGGTTCAATTGGGTTTCTAATGAGTCAAATCCATTTCCCTGGAGCTACCATTCTCCGGTCCACAGAGCCCTCAGGGCCAGCCTCTCAGGAAGTCCACTCCTGCTCCCAAAGCTGGCTTCACCATCTGACCTGCTTTGCCCTGAACGTCACCCCTCGTCTCTGTGGCTCTCACAGGTCAGCCACAGTGCACCCAGGGCCTCAGTTCAGGGGCAATGAGATGCCCACTGGTGCTGGCTTGTTGGCTGCTGCTGACCCATGTGGGTTACCTCCTGAAGCCCTCCTCAGTCCTTCTGGGCGTGGCTTGGTGTGGGTTACCTCTCTGTTGAATCACATTTATATGGCTGGCGTTCGGACCTAAGTGTGGAAGTGTGCAGTTATCCTGGCTAAGAGATAGGTGGCATTTTAAACACCAAGAACCTTGCACCTTCAAGCAGATCCCACGAAAGCCAGGGACCATGTCTTAGCCTAGTGCTTTGCTTGGAGCGGGAAGGACAGGGCCCTCGCCAGGTTGGCCTGGAGCTGCTTCACTGGAGGAAGACAAGCAGGGCTCCAGCCCTTGTCACCCAGGGTCTGTCATGCTAAAGCCCCTTCCGGTTTCTTCTGCGTCATCTGTCCTCAGCCACACAGCACTAGGTAGACAAGAGAGAGCCCTACAGAGAGCCTCGGAGTTAGCCCTTCTGTGGCAGAAAGCACAGAAACAAACACAGCAGATTCGTGGATCCCGGCAGCCACGGTTTGGAGAGAGGAGCGAAGGTGGAGGAGTCAGAGAGCCATGTTTGGTGGGAGGGAAGGGACAGGGCGGGAAGCCGGACTTCCTGCTACAGAGTGGAGATGACAGGAACATGTTTTTTTACTTTCCTTTTCTTGCTCTCATTTCTGTGTTTTATTAAGGGAAACACAAAAGGAAAATTGTGTTATTTGTTAAAAGATGTCAAAGTGCATTTCTAGCAAGAGGAAAAGAAGCAGAAACATTAGGGCTTAGACACAGCAGCGCTGTGCCATGGGGAGCCGGAGACTGGCGGGGTGGGGAAAAACGGGAACTGCACTCCACTGACCTCTGCACTCTTCCCCACGAATCCCCTGGCCCTTTGCTGATGTTCCGATCGATCTTTAAACAGGGCTGGGGGCCAGGTATCTCAGCAGCTTTTGGGGTAAAGGGTGGGGGCGTCCCAGACTAGCTGCTGGGCCCGGGAGGGAAATCAGGCAATGCAAATGCAGGTTGCTCCCTAAATACAAGCAAGATTCTCCTTCCAAAGCAGCCCAGACAGTCC